CAACAACGTATATATAGGCAGCAACTGGTCCTAGGACATGCTTTTTGAACAAATCATTTTTTAGCTCTTCTAATTTAGCTCTAAATATTCGTGCAGTTAAATCAGGTCTATTTTGTTTTTCATCATTATACTTTAGTTCTTGTTTTATTTCAGGCCAATTAGGATTACAAGTCATTGTCAAGAACACGTCTGGTTTACCATATCTTTGAACAAGGGCCATTGCATCCATATATCTCTTTCTATTATCCCTAGGTCCTCCTGTAAATGATGAAGGTAAAATAATTCTCCGACCAATTTTATAACCTCTAGTTTCACCTATTTCAACACTATCAACAATTCCTTGGTATAATTCTGCTCTTATAAGCTTTTGATTGTTACGAAAATAATCTAACCTAGCTGTTTCAATCTTCACGTACATATCAACAATATATTGCTGTAGAAGCCTACCGGCATGAAGCAAGATAAAATTCTCTGAATTACCTAAGTCACGTACCTGTAATTTATAGCAATAATATTCTCGACAAGATATAGATGACCTTTTGCTTCTCTTCATGACTACATCATAGAGAAATGTGAACAACAATGAAGATCATCAATCATGGAAAAGAAGCTGAATTTTGAGGAAGAACTAAACATAAATTGATTTATATTATTAACCTTGATTTTCTCTGTCAATTAATTCGTTTGCACAACTTATATTGTTGATAATTGAAAGATTCTCTTCTGCAGAAGAATGCTCAATATTCTCTTTATTCAATCTAGGAATACCTTCATGCCATCCACATTCACCATTAGGAAAAAGCAATGGGTATTGAAGAGGGTCATAACAACCAAAATAATAGTGGACTTTGTGTGAAGTGCCAGAATGACCATAAATAGTTATATCACGATCTCTACTATTTGTCGATGGATCTTCATCAACCCAAACAGCGGCTACTTGCGAAACAGTTGGTGTGTTATAAACTCTTTGATCTAAACCAGGATTGCATTTTATTTTTATCTGACAATCATGCAAATTGTCCAAAACACTTAAAGAGCGGAAAAACTTAGAATAAGGATTAATTTTTAAGATATCCATGATCATCTGTAAAGTTCGTTCACAAAATTTTTCTGAAATGCTCAATCGATTATGCACTTCATTATCAGTATCATAAAAGTATAATTGTAAATACGTTGGATTATTAGTAGACGGTAACAATGGGTTTATGTAGTGGTAGACTTGTCCTTGAATTCGAAATGTATAAATTCCTTTATTCATCTTACATAAATCCTTGTCATAATGTACACCAAATGACGTAAAGGCAAAATGATTGTTATAACTTCTTGCAATTTTTTTGAACTGCAACGCTTCAGGTACATTTGAAGTAAATAATTGATGTAATTCATTGGGGACACGTTCCATGCACAATTTGACCTTCCCATCAGAACAACAAAATCCCTTAGTTTCTCTATGAAATTTTTTTGCGCTACAATATCTACAGATAGTAGGTTGAGGAAGAACATAACATTCAGTCGGAATATTATGCGAGCTAAAGATTGAAGTAAAATCATTATCCTCAATGTTTTCATGGGTTACAATTTGCTGCTCTTGTAAGTTAGATGTACCATCAACCCATATTTCATTCTGTCCAGTTTCAGAATCAAGAAACACAGCAGTCGAAGGTGAATTTGTTGCATCAGCAGTAGCTAGAAAATTTGATAAAACAATTTCACACAAATAATCTATATCATACTGAAAACGTACTCACTAACAAGAAAGGAGAACAAAATCTTGAATATTGTAAGTAATAAGTTTTCTCCTATATTACCTTTCAACACAGCAAGCCGCTTAGATCTTCTCTTTGGTGTTTGTAGACTAATATCCAATTCGCCAGTTTCATTACATGTTTCATTCTGTCCATTTTCAGAATCAACAAACACAGCAGTTGAAGCTAAATTTGTTGCACCAGCGATATCTGCAAAAATTGATTAAATAACTTCAAACAAATAATTTATATCATACTAAAAATGTACTCACTAACATGAAACGAAAACAAAATCTTCAATAATGTAATTAGTAATAAGTTCTCTCCTATACTACCTCCTAACATAGCAAGCCGCTTAGACCTTCTCTTCGGTGTTTGTAGATTGATATCCAACTCTCCAGTTTCATTACATGGTTCATTCTGTCCACTTTCAGAATCAAGAAACACACCAGTCGAAGCTAAATTTGTTGCACCAACAGTAGCTGCAAAAATTGATAAAACAACATCATACAAATAATCTATATCCTACTAAAAATGTACTCACTAACAAGAAGGAAAACTAAATCTTGAATAATGTAATTAGTAATAAGTTTTCTCCTATACTACCTTCTAACACAGCAAGCCGCTTAGACCTTCTCTTCGATGTTTGTAGACTGATATCCAATTCTCCAGTTTCATTACATGGTTCATTCTGTCCATTTTTAGAATCAAGAAACACACCAGTCGAAGCTAAATTTGTTGCACCAACAGTAGCTGCAAAAATTGATAAAGCAACATCATACAAATAATATATATCATACTAAAAATGTACTCACTAACAAGAAGGAAAACAAAATATTGAATAGTGTAATTAGTAATAAGTTTTCTCCTATACTACCTTCTAACACAGCAAGCCGCTTAGACCTTCTCCTTGGTGTTTCGAGACTGATATCCAATTCGCCAGCTCCTATTTGTAGTTCTCCACGCCTCTCTATTTTTCGAAACATTTAAGCCTAAAAATCAAAGGCAACAAATTATAACAAACATATACAAAAGCGAATAAAATGAATAAAAAGGATGAGAATAAAAATCAAAAACCACCAGAACAATCGTTTGCAACCTCTGGCAAAAATAAAATGTACACAGATTTATTTTTTCTACTCGAAACATTGATCTGTAAAAATCAAAGGCCCAAAACTAACAAACATATACAACAAGGAAGAAAAAGAATAAAAAAGGAGAAAACAAAAATCAAATACCACCACCATCAACTGTGCTCAAATATCCTCCTCCACCTTCAACACCCAATGGTGTCGGTGCTATTGGCAGTGTATATTATTACTCACTACCTCCTCCAGCTAATCCATATCATCATCCACCACCGTCCAGAGGTGGTGGAACATCTCATCCACCTGCAAATACCTATGGATACACCACTCAGCCACCACCTAACCCCATCGTTCCATATTTTCCTTACTACTACTACAACCCAACACCAGCTTCTCCTCGTTCTGACTCCAAATCCGTATCCGTGTAACTCAGAACTCACCCCTCTGTTTTTAAAAATACACCTACAAAAAACGGAAGAACGTACAGAAGTGTTGGCCTACCAGCGCAGGCTTTCTCCTTGCAATTCCGGCGGTGTTTCACATGCTCGAACGATCGCACACCTCGGCGGAATGAGGGCAGTATGACGGCGGCGTCAAACGGGTGAAGAAGAGGACGGNAGAGGCAAGGGAAACAGCGAAGCGGAGTCAAACTGCGAAAGAAGAACACGGTAGAGCCAAGTCGATTCACAAGGATGGAGAGAACTTCAATTGATTTTAGAGAAATAGGGAAGCGTCGATTGATTTCAGAGAAATAGGGAAGCGGCGCGGAAGGGAAATAGGGAAAATGGAAGACGGGTAGGGCAAATTTGGGGGAACGGGAGGAAAAGTGACAAATAGGGGAAAATATACAAATAATAACTATTACGGATTGGGCCAGTTACGGATT